ACACACACACACACACACACACACACACACACACACACACACACACACACACACACACACACACACAGAGGGTTTCTGACGCTGCATGTTCAGCTGATTAGTGGAGCTTTCACGCTTCATGACTCGCTGACTTTTTATTAAGAGAACAATTAGGCAATCTGTTGCTTTAAAAGGGTTCAGCTGTTTTTCACCAACGTTTGTTGGATTTATTTAATTCAAACTAAAGAGATCACCCTCACTCCATGACGCTTCAACTGTCGGGTCAGTTTTATTCCTTCAAACTGTTCAATGATGGGATAAAAAATGACCTTTGATTCAACTGAAGGAAACACCTGATTTTAAAACTAGATGAGTTAAATGAAGAAATGTTCCAACCACCTCACAGAGCTGTAAGTAAACCAGAAGTTTTGTTAGTTTTATCTTTAAAAAGTGAACGCAGGGCTGAAGCTGGGCTTTTAAGTGTCGACTGAGACACGAATCACTTGAAAGCCGTCTGAATGTTTTTACACAACAGCCGAAGCTTCCTCCAAACAACAGCCTAAAATAAGCTGAAGAGAAAAGCAGCCGTGTAGATTCAGCAGCTACTAAATGTTTCATCTGTTCTGACCCAGAGTCGCTTCACCGACTGCAGCTCAAGAGATGCTTCAAACATGAGCTGAAGATTCAAACATGAGCTGAAGATTCAAACATGAGCTGAAGATTCAAACATGAGCTGAAGATAATAACAGTCAACACCTGCTTCAGCTGATAACCAAAAAACCCCACAAATATATCATCAATACAGGCGTAATAAAGAAAGTTTACCTTCCAAATACGGTGTGTTTTCTGTCGAGGTAGGTACAGGACCGAAACGTGATGAAGCTGAGGAAAAACAGAGAGTTAAAAAGAAATAATTAAATAAAATTAATAAGATGCAAAAAGGTGAAAAACAAGGATTTTTTTTTTTCAAATTCTTAAAAACCTTTCAGCTCTTTGAAATGACTCATTAATATATTATTATTTGGCTGATTTTAGCTGTAGCATCTGTTGTTTTATTTGTGCAAATGTTTTGCTCATTTAAGAATTTTTTAATTTTAGCACCCATTTTGCCAGTTCAGCTAATTTTACCATTTGTTTAGCTAACTTTAGCTGCTGTTTCAATTAGCTAATTTTAGCTTTCGCCTCTGTTTTGTTTATTGTAGCTGTAGAATGTTCATCTAAATGTAGCTCTTGCATCTTCATCTTTTTCAACTTTAGAATATGCTTCAGTAATTTAACCTATTGTATTGCTACTTTAAACATTAACATCTGTTATGCTAACTTTAGCTTTATCATCTATTTTTTTCTAATTTTAACATAAGCATCCGTTATGCTAACTTTAGCTTTAGCATCTGTTTTTGCTAATATTAACATAAGCATCCATTATGCTAACTTTAGCTTTAGCATGTCTTTTTCTCATTTTAACATAAGCATCTGTTATGCTAACTTTAGTTTTATCATCTATTTTTGCTAATTTTAACATACGCATCCGTTATGCTAACTTTAGGTTTATCCTTTGTTTTTGCTAATATTTACATAAACATCCATTATGCTAACTTTAGCTTTAGCATGTCTTTTTGCTAATTTTAACATACGCATCTGTTATGCTAACTTTAGCTTTAGCATCAGTTTTTGCTAATTTTAACATACGCATCCGTTATGCTAACTTTAGGTTTATCCTTTGTTTTTGCTAATATTAACATAAACATCCATTATGCTAACTTTAGCTTTAGCATGTCTTTTTGCTAATTTTAACATACGCATCTGTTATGCAAACTTTAGCTTTAGCATCTGTTTTTGCTAATTTTAACAAACGCATCTGTTATGCTAACTTTAGTTTTATCATCTATTTTTGCTAATTTTAACATACGCATCCGTTATGCTAACTTTAGGTTTATCTTCTGTTTTTGCTAATATTAACATAAGCATCCATTATGCTAACTTTAGCTTTAGCATGTCTTTTTGCTAATTTTAACATACGCATCTGTTACGCTAACTTTAGGTTTATCCTCTGGTTTTGCTAATATTAAACACAAGCATCCGTTATGCTAATTTTAGCTTTATCATCTGTTTTTGCTAATTTTAGATTTAGCATTTGTATAGCTAATTGTATCTATTTTATTAATTTTACCACGTTGTACTAAGTTTAGCTGTTGTTTAAATTAACTTTAGCATCTGTTTTGCTGATTGTAGCTGTAGTGTTTGTAAAAATATAGCTTTAGCATCTGTTTCAGTAATTTTACCTATTGTTTTGCTCAGTTTATTTATTAAGCTACTTTTAGCTTTAGTGTCTGTTTTTTTTTTACCATTTGTAGCTTTAGCATTAGCTTTGCTTAGCTTAGGCATCTGTTCTGCAAATTTTAACTTTTATCATGGATTTGACTTATTTTAGCCTCAATGTTGCTTGTTTTAGCTTTAATAACTAAACTTTTTTTCATTTCTTCAAGAAATTTCACCAAGTCACTCGGCTTAAACACTATTTTAAAGAAATGTACTTTTTCATTATTTAATAATGTCTATAAAAACTTAAAGAAAGTCAATGAAAATATGAAAACAACAGATAATTTTATCTGTTGACCGTTTTGCACAAAAAGGATTAAAGATAAGCTGAAAAATGTTTCTTACAACTGAGATTTGTTGGTGTTGGGACCAGAGTTGGCCATGCTCAGAACCCCCCGGCCCGTATGAGACAGGTTGGGTCGAAACTCGTCTTTGAAAGGTTTTCCCCAGAAAGATTCCCCACCTGAGCGCGAACAGAGAGCAGATATGAGTCACTGAGGAAGAAATAAAAAGCTCCTTTAATTTTTCATTAATCAGATCGATTGGTTCATTTTCCTACCATCTGTGTGGTTTTTAACACTCCTCATTATGTCAAACAGACTTTTCTTTCAGCTGTAGTTATACCTTCAATATTTAATCATGTCTGACATTTTCTGCACAAACATCATGTGACATCACAGCAGGACAAACACAAGAATCGTTTCGTTAAAGATGGATGAGCTGCAGTTTCCTGCCCGACTTTCAGGGTCGGAGCTTCGTTCAAACCGAAGCTTTGTTTTTATGTTTTTATATCTAATATTACATGTCCAGTTTACTGCGTCAGTCTTCATAGACAGGGAAACACTTGTTTTTCTTAATCTGAGATGTAAATTCAGAGGGTTAGGGCCGTCTCCGCTCCACCTGAGACGTTATGCTGAGAAAAGGCTGAAGTTAGCTCGTATTTTAACAGAGAAAGAGTAAAATTCTTGATGAAAACACAAAATTTCTCATTTTGTGAACAGTTCAGATCAGCAGAGAGAAAAGTTTTTGGCTCTCCAGCTCACCGCAGAAAAAAAATTCATCTTCTGAAGCCTTTTCTCTCCTCTCATCTTTATGGTTTAAATCAGAATTCACTGTACCTTGAAAGTAAAACGTCATTTATTTTACCATTGCTTTCTGCTTTGCCATTAACTTCAAACTTATATGAAAAAAAAAAGTTATAAAAACTGTTTACCTAATTTATTGCTTCATAAACCCCACTAATACAATCTTTTTATCATTTCATCTTTTCCAAGCTTCTCTTTGATACTGAATATGGTGCGTTATTAGAGTCAAATTAAGACTGTGCACCCAGGGATGGCTACGTCCTTGTAGCAGGAGCCTATATCTAAAACCAAAACCAGCTACTGGTTTGATTTATGAAAGGCCTGCACTGCTAAACGAGCGGCAAGAACTGGAAAATATGCGTTAGCATTGGAGAGGCTAACATCTTGCATGGCTAGGATAGCGTTAGCATTGGAGGGGCTAACATCTTGCATGGCTAGGATAGCGTTAGCATTGGAGGGGCTAACATCTTGCATGGCTAGGATAGCGTTAGCATTGGAGGGGCTAACATCTTGCATGGCTAGGATAGCGTTAGCATTGGAGGGGCTAACATCTTGCATGGCTAGGATAGCGTTAGCATTGGAGGGGCTAACATCTTGAATGGCTAGGATAGCGTTAGCATTGGAGGGGCTAACATCTTGAATGGCTAGGATAGCGTTAGCATTGGAGAGACGAACATCTTACAGGTCACTCACTTTATTAGACACTTACCATATTTATTCATGTATAATAGGATCTAGAGTATAATCAGATCATTTTTGAACTTTAAAAGTATTAAAAATTTAATTATCAATAACCGTGTATAACTGCGGAACTGCATTTTTGTGTATAATACAAATTTATTCTCTTAGTATTAGTCTAAAACCCCATTGTCAATTCTTGATAAAGTTTCTGTTTTTTAAAAAAGTACACATAATAAAGTGGGTCACCAGCCTAAACATGCTAGTCATTAGCCTACCTAAAGCTAACACTAGCTTAGGAACACTAGTCATTAGCCTCCTTAAAGCTAACACTAGCCTAGTCAAGCTAGTCATTAGCCTCCCTAAAGCTAACACTAGCCATTAGCCTCCCTAAAGCTAACACTAGCTTAGGAACACTAGTCATTAGCCTCCCTAAAGCTAACACTAGCCTAGGCATGCTAGTCACTAACCTCCTTAAAGCTAACACTAGCTTAGGAACACTAGTCATTAGCCTCCTTAAAGCTAACACCAGCCTAGGCACGCTAGTCATTAGCCTCCTTAAAGCTAACACTAGCCTAGGCAAGCTAGGCATTAGCCTCCCTAAAGCTAACACTAGCCTAGGCATGCTAGTCATTAGCCTCCTTAAAGCCAACACTAGCCTAGGCAAGCTAGGCATTAGCCTCCCTAAAGCAAACACTAGCCTAGACAGGCTAGTCATTAGCCTCCCTAAAGCTAACACTAGCCTAGACAGGCTAGTCATTAGCCTCCCTAAAGCTAACACTAGCCTAGACAGGCTAGTCATTTGCCTTCCTAAAGCTAACACCAGCCTAGGCTCTCTAGTCATTAGCCTCCTTAAAGCTAACACCAGCCTAGGCACTCTAGTCATTAGCCTCCCTAAAACTAACACTAGCTTAGACATGCTAGTCATTAGCCTCCCTAAAGCTAACACTAGCCTAGGCACACTAGTCAATAGCCTCCCTATAGCTAACACCAGCCTAGGCACGCTAGTCATTAGCCTCCCCAATGCTAACACCAGACAAGACATGCTAGTAATTAGCCTATGAAGTGCTAACACCAGCCAAGACATGCTAGTCATTAGCCTCTCTGACGTGCTAACACCAGCCAAGGCATGCTAGTCATTAGCCTCTGACGTGCTAACACCAGCCAAGGCATGCTAGTCATTAGCCTCTGACGTGCTAACACCAGCCAAGGCATGCTAGTCATTAGCCTCTGACATGCTAACACCAGACAAGACATGCTAGTCATTAGCCTCTGACTTGCTAACACTCCATAGATATATTCAATAATTTCCTAACATAAACATAAATTAGTGACTCTGCCAGCAGCATTTATTGTGATGATTAAACCTTTACTCTTCAGCTCAGTGGTGTGGAGAGGCTTCACTCATGACATGACTCAGAACCGTCTGGAGTCCATGGGACCGGCCCGGGGCGGGTCCTGCCAGCTGATCATGAAGCTGCAACACAACCTGTCAGTTTGTTTATGTTGCTGTGAAAACATACAAACATCCCCTCGGGGGGTTTTCTGCAGCCGTCAGGCTTTCCTGGTGACATTCATGCATAATTCAGCTGGCTGACGTTTTGACATCCGACACTGGATCAGAACCGAGCGGAGCCAGAGAGGAACCGTTCCTGACTAGAACCAGAAACTTATCTTCCAGTTATTTAATGGAGTGAGTCGACACGTCTCCTCTGATAAAACTGGTTTCTCAGAACCTCAGAACGAGTGATTCTTGTTCTGAACTTGGTCAGATCTTCCTGCGGAGCGTCTGGTCCTGGAGGGTTTCAGCAGAACCAAGCTTCTGTGAGCCTTCGGGACGCAGCTGATGCTAAATCCAGCTGTTTGCTGAATATTGTTGTGATTTATGCAACAAAGAGAGGAGTTCACTCAGAGTGTCTGAATATCCTCTGAAGGATCTGCATGAAAACACACCAGTACTGGTTCAGACTGCAGCTCAGGTTTGTCCAAGGAGGTTGGTTCTACAGAACAGCTGGAGTGCTCAGAAACCAGGTGACCCTGTGATCGGCTGCTGAAGCTAACGGCTAACACAAAACAGTCTGATTTCCCATTACTGTACATGTTGACAACAGAGCAGAAGAAAGGACTGACGATGTACAGGAGTACACATAAGGGTTGTTTTCAGGCTGTCCAGCAGAAATCTGTCAAATCTAAAGTACCAAAATGCTAGCTAAAAGCAAATGTGCAAAAGGTTAGGTAAAAGTAGAAAATGTTAGCCAATAACAGTAAAAGACTATCTAAAATCTAAAATAACAAAGGGCTAGCTAAAATGGAAAATGCTAGCCAATAGCAACAAAAGCTATTGAAAAGTTAAAGTGCCAAAAGACCAGCTGAAAGAAGCATAAACCACAGGTCTAAAGTGTTGTCTCTGTTAGTAAAATAATCTGTATGACTCCTCAGGTCCTGGAGTTGTGAGTCCTCCTGTGAAGTGTGTTAAAGCTTCTCCTCTGAGCTCACATTGTTCAGCTGAACATTTTACCTACAGGCCAGAAATTCTGCACCTTCATAAATCTGTCAGAGCCGAGTTCAGCAGAGAGTCCCCCCCCACCGCTCCTGCAGCCACAGAGCTCACTTTGTGCCTACACCCCCACTGCCGATGACTCAGAGGCAGGAAGCTAACCGTATGTGACGGAGCCGTCAATTCACCGCAACAGCTTTTCAACTGGGATTAAAACCAACTCAGAGCTTTAATCTGTACTTACAGACCCCAGCTGTAATCCACAGACCCCAGCTGTAATCCACAGACCCCAGCTGTAATCTGTAATCCACAGACTCCAGCTGTAATCTGTAATCCACAGACCCCAGCTGTAATCCACAGACCCCAGCTGTAATCCACAGACTCCGGCTGTAATCCACAGACTCCAGCTGTAATCCAGAGTCCAGTAATCTGGCTGAAGCTCACCTGTGCCTGTGCCAGTGGGGTCTCCTCCTTGAATCTGGAAACAAAAACAGATTAAATTAGATTCTTTAAATAAAGGTAACTCATTTGTTCAACTCTTAATAAAGAATGAATCGGCAGAAATGTAATGAATTCAAAGTAATTCATTAAATAAATAAAACCTTTAAAACATGAGTCAAACCCGAGGGCCGCGGGCCACATCTGGCCCTTTAACATTTTTACAGGACCCAAACGTATTTTCATGGTTTCTGTTTTTGTCTTGTCTGACAGCTGCTAAACATTCAAACAGAGAAAGTTTGAAATGTGGACAAACAGGAAGTCGACTTTAATCATCTTTTGTTGTTTTCTTGTTCTAAAGTCAAATAGTTTGTGTGAACGTAACTCCTTCAGTAACAAGTGTACTATTTAAAAAATGTTTTTATCAAAACATTCAGGACTTTCTAACTACGACTTTACTTCAGCAATTTGAGATATTTAGTTTTTTCAAACATTTTTTCTCATTGAAAATAAATCAAACTGTTTTAAATGTTTAAAGATCTCTACTGCACTTTTTACCTTTTGTTCTGTTTCTGCTTTTTTAACTTCTTTGTGCTAATTTCAGCTAGCTTCAGCTTATTTTGTATCATTTTTAACTTACCTTTTCAGCTTTTTTTCTACTCTTCAGCTGATTTCTCTGTTTTTGTGCTTCTTTCAGTTTCTTTATGCTAATTTAAACTTCTATGTTTAACTGTATTTTTGTTCATTTTGGCTGTTTTGACTTTTTAGCTACTTTCAGCTAGTTAGTTTTGTTGAGCTTCTTACAGCTTAATTCGGAAAATGTGCGTTATTTTAGTTTTTTGTGCTTTTAAGTTACTTTTTGACTATTTTTCTGCTAATTTAAACTGTTTTGTGCTGAATTCAGTCACAAAAAAGGTAAAGGTCACAGCTTAGCCTTTTTCTGCTAGTTTTAGCTTATTTTGATTAATTGTCAGCTTCAATCTCTTGTTTGATGTTTTGTTCATAAATTAGACTGTTATAGTTCTTGCAACTTGTTTCTGGTAATTTCAACTTTTAAGCTACTTTTTTGTAATATTTGTTTTCTTCTGTTAATTGTAGCCACATTTCTGCTCTGTTCAGCTGTTTTGACACATTTTTCTACACATTTCTTTTGTTTTCCTACTTTTAGCAAAGCTCTGCTGTTCAAATTCAACTCTCAGCTTGTTTAGCAGCTTTCAGCAAAAATCTTTTAGAGTTCACATTGCCAGAGGAAATGCTAATTCTCTAGTTGGATTGTTGTTGTTTTTTTTACTGTATTTACTGGATTGTGATAAATATATGAGCCTGGTTCTGCTGGAGGTTTCTTCCTGATTAGCAGGGAGTTTTTCCTCTCCACCGTTTGCTCAGGATGGGAGACTGTGATGAAGTGATTCAACACAATCTGCTGCTTTCTTCTTTACATTGTTCTTTTTATGTACAGTGTCCACTTGGAACTATATAACTGAATCTGAACGCTGACTTTATGAACTTAACCCTGACCTAACC